CAATATCACTATAGATGATACAAGTGTTATAACACAAAGGAAAACTTTTTTTTTTTTGCCTTCCAACCAAATGATGTAACATAGAAGATTGAGGAATTACATTTTTGGTCCTTTGTCTATGGTTTCTTTTTGGTTTTGGTCCATCAAAATCGTAAATTACATTTTTATCCAAATTTCATGTTTTTAAGCCTAGATTCATTTTTGGTCCATATTCAAGTCCGCGCTTAGCTATTAGATCCAAATTCAAGTTTGTATCACGGTTTTTTGGGTTTTGATTATCAAATTGTTCTTGGTGTTCTTGAGACATTATATTAAGAATTTGATACAAGTTTGATCTTACACGAGTTATGTAACACCGAGTTTTTTTAATAAAATTGTATAAGTTTATCTATTTGGGTTGCTGATTTTTTTTTCTTTAAAATTTTGGATTTGGTTTGTGTTCTGTGTGCGATATCTATGTGTTCTTGATGGCTGATAAGATGACTGGATGGCCGTAGAAGATGACTAGAGACGGCCGGATTGGGGTGGTCGTCCTAATTTATGCTTCTTCTTTTTTCTCTTTAGCCTTACACACTTGTACAAAACGCATTGAAACTTGTACAATAAAAAATTCATTGAAGATTAGGTGTAAAAAGACTAAAATGCCTCTCATATGAAGTGATGCATGGCACATGATGAACTTAACGAAACCTTCTTTAATAATGTTAGTTGAAAGAAGTTATTTGGCTTATAAATACGAGGGACCAAAAATGTGATTTCATTCTAAAAGAATTTAACTGTGAAACACGAAAGTTTTATTTGAGAAGTTACGTATTTGAAAAGTAAAGAAATGATCATAACCCTTCATCTGGTCAACATTTGCGGTTTTAACTATGAAACACCAGAGTTTTTTAACGTTTACAAATAGACGGCAAATGGATTCACATACGAATCCGTGTGATTCATATATCACGTTAATTAGTTCATATGTGAATCACACGGATTTATACGTGAATCAGTTAAAATAGTTCATGTCTGAGTTACACGGGTTCACATCACACAAGTTAACATATGAATTCGTTTGCCGTTTATTTGCAAAAGTTATGAAATTACTCCCTCTATTTTTTGCATAGACGTAAATTTTGACCAGTCAAATCTAACTTTGACCGTATGAAAGGCTATGATTACTTCTTTACTCCTCAAATATTTATCACTTCTCAAAATAGCTATGGCTACATACATACACACACACACTTGTATATGTTAGTGTTTTGAATAATACTGTAAAACAAATTAAATTCATATAAAGTAATAAAAAAAGAACCATTTATATTAAATATATGAAGCTTATAGAAAATGATATGAAGAGTGCAAAATATGTATTAAACCTCTACTCACTAGTTTTTTTAATTCTCAAGAATGAGTGTTCGACTTTTCATGTACGAGAATACGAGTAACTATTTACCTATTTAAGGTTTAATTTTTAAGTTTAATTTTTATGTTTGTTTCAATGATGTGTCTCCTACATAATTATCATTTATCCTTAAGTTATATATTAAAATAATTCCAGACCTTACAAAACAACATGTTGTAACATGTTATAACATGTTACAATGCAAATCAAGCCTTAGAGTAAAGCCATGAGAATTGAATCCAATCTTTGAAACCATAACATGCAATAACAAAACTATAACGATTAGAACCATGAAATAAATCATAATATAATAATAATTCAATCATAAAATTTGGATATTTTTATTAATATTATTATATTTATATAATTAAGGTGTTTTAATAATTCCGTAACGGCTCAATTCCCAAGGTTTTATTTGATTGGCTAACAACTAGCGTTCGCATCTTCTTGTAAAGACCCAATTGGGATAAAGCAAGTGGCATGGGATCCCCTCACTTTCATGCCTCTTTCCATTCTCCAATGTTGGAAAAACATTCTTTTATAATATATATAATAAATATAAAATAAAATAAACAGAACAAGTTATTAAATACTATAAGGGTATTTGTGTAGTGTGTCGACACATATTTCGATTTTAATGTTTTGTTTTATTTTTTATTTATGTCGATATAATAAAGTTTTATGTGGTTTTGAAAAAACGATAATTGTTTTTAATAAAATATGAATTTAAAAATATCATAAATAATTAAAAAAATTATATCGATATTAATATCAAATTAA